TTTCTTTTGTATTTGTAAACAATAATTTCACTTGTTCTACATTAGAGAGCTAAAGCAAAATCTTTGGCATAAATAATTAAAGAGAGTTGCTTGTTGAGTGTAGGCTCAACACAGTATCATTCATTTAATCTCTGGTAGATCTGTTTACATGGCCAGTCCTTTGCCTTATTCTCTGGCATATGCTTCTTCTGTGTTTTACTGATTCTAACTTCGAACTGGATGACAATCCACAGATTGCAGCAATCTGTCAAGAAGCTGGAATGCATGCGGTACGTAAGAACCGCTATGTCATACTTCCCAAGGACTTCGAGAAGGGTTATCGATCCAACGTAAAGAAGCCTGACACCGACTTCGAGTTTTACAAATAAAATAATGTTAAAGTGCTAATTTTACAGACGTTAAAGTTGAAATTGTTATGTACAAAACCTTGTTTCAGATGCCTGAATTTAACTTCCAAGATGCTGTCAATTTTTTATTATGGAAAATTTGAAGTTAATGTGGACCTTTGGCTAGTAATTGGCCTTAAGTTGGATGGGCCAGCATTAAATTTGTTACAATAAAAAATTATCAAAATTTTATCTTAATTTAATTATTAAAAATAATATATAACTGATAAGATAATTAATATTTATTATTAAACAGATTAAAAATAATTTATAAATAAGCATTTTTAAATATTATAACAAATAAGTTTAAAAATATATATAAATTGATAAAATTATAGTGAAATTAGTGGCCTTAACCATTTGAAACCAATTTTTTGAAGAAATGCACCTTGCATAAAAAAAATTTTGAAAGAAATGAGCAATAAAAATACTCAAGTTAATTTGGTATTGGAAACATAATATTCCATACTGTACTAAAAGAAAAATTCACACGTTCTCAGAATTGATCAAGGGTTGAGAAAAAGAAACGAGTGAACTTGAACCAGATCACTATATAGTAATGTTGCAAGAACTAATTCACGCAGTGAACCTGTAACCAGAGCATATCATGAAACAAGCAATTTAATTGGGACATTAATTTTATCAAAACCCAATATTCAATTCTTACACTAACATGCCATACATAATACATTGCATCCAGCTCAAAGTTCAAACAGATGCGTATGACAACGAGCAATTCATTGGAGCTCGTACAGAGTTGAATTTTTCATTATTTTAGAAATTGCATCATGGGATGTCCAACTTTAATAAGTGACAAAAGCCAAACAAAAAAAATTTACTATCAAGATTATGACTACTTTCTCAACCAAACAACTTGGAGGTGATAAAAATGTGGAGCTATCCAGCAGCACCAGGGCATATCTCTTTTACATTTAGTTGCGGGAAGCTGCTACCAATGCCATGTGCTCTATTAGGTCAAGCACTCGGTTGCTGCAAGAAGTTTTGAACAAATTTATGAGACAATACCAATACATATACTCTGTTTGGAAAATACAAAATGCAGGTGCATGGTTGTGGTGAGCTTGCATGTGTTGTGTGTGTGTGTGTGTGTGTGAGAGAGAGAGAGAGCTGTGAAGGTAACTCCATACCTGTAACCCCATTCGTTGTCATACCATGATACAAGCTTCATGAAGGAAGAACTCAACCCAATTCCAGCTTTAGCATCAAATATGCTTGACCTGGAATGAAACAGGATCACTTATTAGTACCAAAATTTCACTAGACCAGGAACAGAAAAAAGAAGCATACAGTCCATAAATGACTGGAGACAACTATACCTTGAGTCACCAACAAAATCGTTAGAGACAACATCCTCATCTGTGTATCCAAGAATGCCTTTAAGTGGCCCTTCAGCAGCATACCTATATTAAGAAATGTGTTAAGTGATCATCATATGTACTGTGAATAAGGAACCCCACACCCTCTTTTTTTTTTTTTCCCTCTACCATAAGAATAACACAGCCCAAACAAATTCAAAAGGATGAAACAACATCGAACACAAAATTAGAGGGAACTTTGGTAAGCATAATGACAAACAACAGAACAAACAAGATGTAGATCTAAGCCAAAAGATAGAACACCCACCTTATTGCTGCTTTAACATCCTCGTATGAGGCACTCTTCTCAAGTCGGCAAGTTAAATCCACAACAGAGACATTAGGTGTAGGTACACGGAAGGCCATTCCAGTAAGCTTTCCATTGAGTGCTGGCAAAACTTTTCCAACAGCCTGCAACAGCAAAAGACACACATTATATTTAAGTTAACCAAAATTTTCTATCTCAGAAAGTGAACAAGCATTTTATACAGCTCATACCTTTGCAGCACCAGTTGAACTAGGAATGATATTTTGTCCAGCTCCACGGCCCCCTCTCCAATCCTTCATTGAAGGGCCATCCACGGTCTTTTGTGTTGCTGGACATCAAGAACCAAAGCTTGTTACCATGACAATGCATAAGATTTTAATACATGTTATTAATGAATTAAGTGAAGTAGAAGGGACATCTACCAGTAGTTGCATGCACCGTTGTCATCAAACCTTCTACAATACCAAATTCCTCATGGACCACCTGCAAAGCCATATCGATAAATATAAGCCACAAAAGGAGATGATGCTTAGGAGGGAAAGCAATAGCATGGTCAAACAAGAGACTGCATTGTTGTTCATAAAACATCAAATAACAAGAAGCCTCAGCTTGGCAGCAATTTTTATCTTTTCCTAATGAAGTAATAAAGCTTAAAATCTTAGGCCATTATCCAACCTTGGCAAGAGGAGCAAGGCAATTGGTAGTACAGCTTGCATTAGAAACAATGTCCATACTTGGCTTGTATGTTTTCTCATTTACTCCTACCACAAACATAGGTGCATCCGCTGAAGGAGCAGAAATTACAACTTTCCTGGCGCCACCCTGCATAACACATCAGCGAAAGCTCAATTAATAGCCCTCTGATTAGTCTTAATGTTTAGGAGAGTTTAGGGTATACCAACTAACCTTCACATGTAATGAGGCCTTCTCGATTGTTGTAAAAACTCCTGACGATTCAACAACAAACTCAGCCCCATAATCACCCCAAGGGATCTCAGTTGGGTCCCTGAGATATATATATCAGTTAGATGTCAGGAACTTGGTGGAGATAGTTTGACGGTAAACATTGGCAATAAATTCCAACAATGAAATTTGTGTTGTTATGTTTCTGGTTACATTCTTGCAAAGGCTGTTCTAATTCTGATAAAATCATCAGGGGCAAATTTCCAGAGCATTACCTTTTGCCAAAAACTTTTATCTGCTTGCCATTAATTTCCAAAGTAGACTCATCCACAACCCTGATGGTTCCTTTAAAGACTCCATGAGTTGAATCATATTTAAACATGTAAGCCTGGAAAAAAAAAATAATAAGTATAGGATTGAAAGGAATTAGATGAAATCTTCATGAGCCTGAGGAACTCTAACAGTGACAAGGACCACTATCATTAACATACAAATAAGAGCTACCATATTTATTCATCCAATCATTTCACTTGAATTATAGCACATTTGTCACCAAAAAAAGCAAAAATCATCTGAAGTGATGCACCTAGAAGTAGATTGGGTAATGATCCCAAGCTAATAACAAAATATGCAAAAGGCTATGGAAAGAACTGCAAACATACAACCAGTAAGTTTTCAAGAACATGTTGGGACCATGCATATACTTATGCCATTCCCTGTTTAGTTAAAACCAAGTTGCTTGACCAACCAAACGTATTTCAAAAACAACTTGAAGGCTGAAGGTTTTGTTGTAGGCGTGTCATTTTTGAAAGACTAAGAACTGTTATATAATATCCATCAAAAGATCATTGGCTGAAGACTTTATTGAAGGCAATACGATTTACAGAACAGTATGACAGACTAATGTATTTGATAGGACATCCTTACCATGTACTTAGTATCAATGAAAGGATCATTGACTGCTACAACATCAATGTCATCTCTGGAAACTGCTACTCGTAAAACCAACCTTCCAATCCGACCAAAACCTGCACGGGGACATCAAATACAAAAACGTGTTAAGATTCATTTTTATGATAAATGAACTGAAAGGCATGGACAGAGAACAGTTTAAACCACGATACAACATACCATTGATTCCAACCTTTGTCTTCCCACCACTGGACAAATCTATACAAAGTAAAACAAACAAGAAAAAAGAATATCAGAATATATAAGCTTCCAAACTTCCACAACGATTTAATTTCCAATTAAATGCAATGAAAAAAAAAAAAAAAACCAATTTCTTACTCGGAACCGTAGGAGGTATTTCAGTAGCTGTGGCCTTGATAGGTGGCATACACCTCGAAATGCATTTCCTACAGAAGAATAAATTAGAATCTCTTATTGTTGAGTAGAAGCAAAGACAAAAACATCAGCTGTATTTCAACGATAAGTGTGCGTTTACTCAACTGTAAGGAAGAAGAACCAGTCGAAACTCCAGCGCCAAAGAAGCTTGATTGTGTCCTCGATAATTTGAGATTATGGCTAAATCCAACACTTGAAACCTGAGACAGAGATCACGAGAAAAATCAAATAACAAAACCATAATCCAAAATCAGCTTAAAAAGCATCTTCTACATATTTCTCTCGTAGGATACCAATTACAGATTCAAGAAAAAGAAAAATGAAAAGAAAAGCTGTTCTCAATATCAAGCTCTAGTTTATTGATCGGAGTAGAATGACGGACCTTGAAGCGACCGGAGGATGAAAGAGAGAGGTCGGAGCGAGGGAAAAACTCGGCGGTGGAGGCCGCAGATCTAAGGAGAGAGGAGGCGGCCATTGCAGAAGACTAAGAGTTCTTATTCAGAGAAACCCTAGAGAGAAGCTCGAAGAAGAGGAAGGAGAGAAGACCTCGGCTTTTGGGGGTAGGCAGCAGACACAGGCGTAATGAAAATATCAAATTGTTTGCTTATATTATAAAAAAGGAACACACAGAGTTTTCGATTTCTGGTTTTTTTTTTTTTTTTTTTAAATGAAAAATGGAAAGGAGTAACGACAGGGCGGAGTCCTTGATGTATTTATGTCTCCAATCATTTGTACTCGTTCTCATTGTAATCTGTATGTGCCTTTCTTTGCATACATGCCACGTGTTAATTATTTTTAAGGTTTGTTTTAGAGTCCCCATTTTGCCATGAAACGCAAATAGTATTATTAGAATAAAAGATAACCCTTAATATTAACAATTTGAAAAAATATATATATATTAGTTTGGATTTTTAAATATTTTAATTTTAATTTTAAATTATATCATTTTATTTAATTAAAATAAAATTTAAAATTTAAAATTTTATTTTATTAAATATTAATATTTAAATTTAAAAATGAAATAAATTTTTAAATTTTAAATTGAGATTTTAATTTCTGAATATTAGTTATAACTTTAATTTTTTTTTTAAATCATAACTGATATGCATTAATTTTTAATAGTTTATTGTCTTTTAGAGATTTTTAAATAATTATGAGTTTAAATCTTTATATTAAGATTTAAATTTAAATTTTAATCTGATTGAAAGGGATTTTAAAAAGAAAAGATATTCTAATTGTATAACCAATATCACATAATATTATAATTTTATTATTATGTTATATCATTTAATAAGTAAATATATGTTTTTTTAATAAAACAAAATGTAATCATTTATTAATAAAATTTGATATTAATCTCTAATTAAAGACTACTTAAATAAAAAAATTTTAATATATATTATAATTATCTTTTAAAATAAAAAAATTAGAATAAATATATTAAATATATCTTTTAAAAAATAAATAACTAAATTTAAACATTTTAAATAAAAAAATTAGATTTATTAAAATTTAACAAAAATTTATAATATCACAACAGTAATAATTAATCGAATGATAATATAAAATAATTATAATTATAAGCTTTATTTAAAGTTTAGTAAAATTTTGACTTTAAATTTTAAATTTTTATATATTTAATAACTAATCTGTATTTTAATTAATTTAAAATTTTCAAATTTTTATAATAAATTTTAATTTCTTAATAAAATAATAAAATACTAAAAAATCAAAACCAAAATCCAAAACTAAAATTATTGTATGTAAGCGGAACTTTAAGTTGTCGTCTAATGTGATATTGGTGTAACGGAAGCGAGCTCACGAGAAGAGCATGGAAACTTTTCGCATGGGATCATCTCCAAAACAATAAATGGAGCCCACGAACTGTGTGAATCGCGTACAAAATTTTGTCGTGTAGCAAGAGCCCTAGGAAGCCACGTCAGAATAGTCTGGGCCAAATTTGGGTCCTCTTTTGGGCTTTTTCCCCTTTTAGATTTACCCGGACCTCCATGTCGGCTCTCCGTCATGTGGTGGGTAGGTACAATCGCCACTTCGGCTCCTTCCTACAGTTCCGTCCCTCAAATTTCTCCAGTTACAATGTGACGTGGCACGTTGCAATTGGTGGTCAAAAGGAGTGGATCCAGGGTCGTATGGTAGACCATGGTTGGTTCGGTTGGCTGGTCTGACTGTGTGGACGGTCCGGTGTGGAATTTGCTTAAAGCCGACGCTGGTTGTTGGGGTAGGTGGGAACAAATCCTACTGCCACGTGTTACATCTACCTTTTGTAGAGACCGAATATGCCTTTGGCCAGTTGGCCAAATAATTCAGACAATGACACGGCCGAATTTCCAATTTCTTTGGAATATATACCCAAATTAAAGTTAAGAAATATAGGTCCTTTAGATGATGGAGAACAATTTTTTTGGGAAAAAGGTTGTAACCTCGTACTAAAGAGATCAATTTCATTTTAAACGATTTTAACATTGTAACACCTAGTTTATTACCTAATCATTTGAACTTTACAATGACAAATAAATAAGATTAGAGGGGTTGATAAATTGTCTTGCTATTTTATTGTTTAATGTGTTGGTCAACCCCTTTTAATAATTGTACCATGCCGAAATTTTTTTTTTGAATTTTGATTTTTTTAAATATAATTTTAATATCATATAATTTTATAACATAATTTATAACATATAAGTGATTTTTTTATTTAAGATTTTATTTATAATATTATACGTATATACTCATTTAATAATATATTAAAATTATAAAATAATAATTTTACCTAGTATAGTAATTATAGCATTATTGATATCTTTTTTCTTTGCAGGCTATATATGAGAGGAAAAAAAAAAGACGGAGGAAAGCCAGTGGTTATTGACACATGCATGTTTATTAATATCACATATTTTTATTGATATTTTATTAATTTATAATTTTTACCATAAATATATAGTTATTATGTCTAAAAATATGTAAATTAATTTTATTATAAAATAATAAATATTTTAATTTATTATTATTATTTATTAACTATTTTTAATAAATAAATAGATAAATATCAATAAAAACTGTCTAATCTTACCAAAACTGTTGTGTAGCCATTACCACCGAAAAAGCAATTTATGATATTGATAAGACTTTGTGTGACTTCCATGTTTCAATGTACTTTATTATGGTGTCTTGGTAATTAAGATGAAGTCACGGTTTTGATACCAAGAAAAGAGATGAAGTGGTCTTTTTCATGATTGCAAAACAGAGAAAAGGACTCCACGGTTTGTTGTTCAGGGCCCTCAGGCTTATCTTGCTGGGCCGGGGAATGTGAACCTTCAGGAGACAGGCCCATTGTGGCTTAAATTCCTGCAAGCTGCGAGCAAATTTGAAGAGAGAAACAAAGTTAGGTATCATCCAGCTTTAAATCAGGAAAACAGAGCTCTCTCTGTTTATCTCAAGTTAACCAGTGATTGCTCTTATTTCTCCAGGGATCAAGGGAGCTGCAGGAACCTGTAACATGAAAGATGCAACATCGGAGTTTAACACGTTTGTCTGCTGCCCATTTGTGGTGATTGTTGTTACTTTAGGGCATCTTTGTGTGAAAATTGTGCATGTGGCTCAATACAAGATTTACATCTAATCTAAAATTAATTGTTTATATGTGGAGTATGTTTCTTTGTATTTAACTCACAAACTCTTTATTTTTATATTTAATGTCAGATTTTCTCACTTAATACGTCATTTTACGTACAGACTCATTATAAATGTTAAGTCCTATCAGGTGAGTTAATACTTTGGTGTCTCTTACCTCCATTAGAGAACACTTTTTTAGGAGACTCCCATTGGAGGTGTGGAGACTGGCTCTCCTAACTTTTTTTTTTTAATCATTTTGGTGCTAAGTGGGATCAACACCTGTCGGCACCAGTTTTAGCCATTCATTTGTTTTTTTTTTGGTTTCTTTTTTTTATATATAATAAATTTAAAAGTATGAGTTGAATAAAATAATTGGAAAAAATTTTGTAGATCTCCTAAATACTACCTCATTCATACTTAAAATTATTTTATTCAACTCACTCTTAAAAACTCTTCACTCCAAATATCATTACTTTTGCTACCAAAACACAATGAGATTGCATATAGGATTCATTTCCAAAATAAGATTTAACAAGCTCCATAAGCGCACCTGGGCCTAGAGATCCACTGGCATTAGCCAGCTTGTTAGGTGCATTCCCCTATTTCTTGGGCGAGTTTCGAACCCGTCCCGTGTCAAAAATGTTAAAAAAAAAAAAAAAAAAAGCTCCATAAGCACTCCTGTTGCTAAAAATTTCTATTCCCCTAAAAATTTTCAAACTTAAAGAGATAAAAAAAGTGCTCATGAGCAACTCCGTAAAAAACCTCGCCACACAGCCCGTAAGGAGCATTCTATTGTTATTAGAAATTCTGAGGTTGGTTTGTTAAAAATTTTAAAGTGTTAGAGGAGTAAGCACAGTTCAATGCAACAGAAAAATTTTGGAGCTTACATTACAGATGCCAATAAATTTTCTTCCTTCAACACCGGCACTTTCTACTTCATAAAGTCAGAGCCTGAAGAATATCATGATAGGTTTTTTTTTTTTTTTTT